CCGACGCACCGGTACCGGTTACCGCTTTTCCAGGCGCTTTCCAGCACACCCAGCAACTCGCCAACCCCAAATGTTGTCTTCTTCGAAATGCCTGTGACACCGTGACAGATTCGTACGTCGCCAGACAACGTACAACGTATCGAGTGGATCGGATGTATAGTAAAGCGGCTAGTTGCGTCGTTTTCGCCGTCTCGCGATCGCACATTGCGACACACACGTTATTATTAATAATTCACCACGCGACCTTTTCTCGGTGCTTTTAGCGGGCATTTCGCCAAAATCTCCTCTCGGTGTCTCTTCTTCTACCTACCTACCTACTTATCTACCTATCTACCTACCTACCTACCTACCTACCTATCTACCTACCTACCTACCTATCTACCTACCTATCTACCTACCTACCTATCTACCTACCTACCTACCTACCTACCTACTTACCTACCTACCGACCTACCTACCTACCGTGCGAGAGAACATGAGGAGAGGCGTGTAGCTACGTAGCACCGCGCTAGAGCTAGCGCTGTTTCGCGCGCTCTCGCGCTCGCGCTCGCGCCTGAACGGACGCTTATCTCTCTAACGCCGTTTACAATTAGTGTTTCAGTGTTGCATTAGCGTATTCGCGCGAATACACACATGATGTAAATGCCAATCGATATTATTAGTAATTATATCAATCAACGCGCCAAATACGATTGATACGATATTTTGTATTTCAGTCCGAATATGGACTCACGGAAGATCAGGTGGCAGGTGAGTTAAACGCACAGCAGTTTCGTAGTTGAAATTACAGGAGAGATATTTTCAATGGCCGACGTACGACGTGCGACGTACGACGTGCGTTTTGTTTAATTAGTAAATAAAGTGGAATAGACAGACACAAAAGGAGTGCAAATGCAAACTTTGCATGTGAGACGGCCGTACGTAGCCCCATTCGCCTATTCTTACAATCCAATTAGCAGTTGACGCTGAGCGATTTAACTGGTTAGACGGTTAGACCCGAGTCTGACTCGGGGGGTAAGATTTATTACTTTCAGGTCCGCTATTTTGAATTTTGCAACAACAATCTCAAATTTGAAATCAGCACGTTCGAAAACTATTAACTGATAAAACTATAACTTATAAAACATGAAAGTAAATATTTCCTCCGCAGAAGAAATTTAATTAACCATTCTGATACCAAACCAATTTTTGCCAGTAAATAGAACCGCAAGAGGGTTAAAGGCACAAAGTAAGATGAGTGAAAATAAATGCCAGAAATAATATCGAAAGTCGAAATGTAATGTCAAGATATCAGAAATAAAATTCAATTTATGATGAAATTCATCTTATGTTTATTACTCAGTTGATTTGTAACTCGTAGAACACGATATACATTCGACGCATAGTTTGCTCATGCACCGGTCGGATGATTAGCATTAGCAACAATATCATCACGTGACACGCGATATATATTTGTCGATTATATTATATCTCGCAATCTACTTTTCTCTGCGAGCGTTCTGCGAGCACTCTTCCAATTGTAATCTATATCTTTCGGCAGTGCACGAGACACGTGTATTCTCTCCCTCCCTCCCTCCCTCTCTCTCCTCTCTCTCTCTCTCTCTCTCTCTCTCTCTCTCTCTCTCTCTCTCTCTCTCTCTCTCTCCCCCCCCCCTTTCCTTCTATCAATTGGTAGATGTATAAATTATTAATTACGTTAGCTGTTGAAAGATGAAGAGTATTTTTCCATCACATATACACATCATATACACATTGTGCGATTTGTTTTCCTATTGTGACGCTAGTCGAAGCTACTGATGAAGCTATTAATATGAGAAGCAAAATCTTAAGTTTGACCATCGGAAGTAAAAGGAAGAATGAGAAAGGGCGTGCGAATCTTTCTTACAACAACGATAAAAATGAACCGCTGTTATTACATTGTTTGCATTGAAAATATCTCCTAGCTAGAGTAACCATGTTACGATTCTGTTCAAATTTATTTGAAACACACCTAACGATGGCTACTTTTGTCTCAAATATACACACACACACACACACATACACACATTATATATACACACATATACATATATATATATATATACACACACACATATATATATACACATATATATATACATATATATACGCTGTGATCGCGAATGCACAATTATTGCGAATTACTCTATTATTTTAGAATTCAAGGAGGCATTTATGCTTTTCGACAAAGACGAAGACGGCACGATTACGATGGCGGAATTAGGAGTCGTCATGCGATCTCTCGGTCAAAGACCATCGGGTAAGTCACAAGCTGTCTCGCTGTCTCGCGAGAGAACTCGGATGCAACTCGATAATATATAATAACGGACCCGATAAAAACGACAATCTCTTTCAGAGACAGAATTGCGCGATATGGTGAACGAGGTGGATCAGGACGGTAACGGTACCATCGAATTTAACGAGTTCCTGCAAATGATGTCGAAAAAGATGAAAGGTGCCGACGGCGAGGACGAACTTCGCGAGGCATTTCGGTGAGTACACCGCGCGCCTCAACCATCGCGCAAAGCTCGATAAGAGATAATCGTCCCGGGCAATCGCGACAAAATTCTTCTCTCGCGAGAGAAGAATTTGCTTCGAGGCAATTGTCGTCCGTGGACGAATGCTGTGCCTTTAACCTGAGAGAGATAAGATAGGACGGGCGAGCCGCTGCGACTCTCTCTCTCTCTCTCTCTCTCTCTCTCTCTCTCTCTCTCTCTCTCTCTCCCTCCCTCTCTCTCTCCCTCTCTCTCTCTCTCTCTCCCACACTCTCTCTCTCCCCCACTCTCTCTCTCCCTCTCTCCCTCTCTCCCTCTCTCTCTCTCTCTCTCTCTCTCTCTCTCCCCTCTCTCTCTCTCTCCCTCTCTCTCTCTCTCCTCTCTCTCTCTCTCTCTCTCTCTCTCTCTCTCCCTCTCTCTCTCTCTCTCTCCCTCTCTCTCTCTCTCTCTCCCTCTCTCTCTCTCTCTCTCTCTCTCTCTCTCTCTCTCTCTCTCTCTCCAACGCCGATTATCCTCGTTTTCTTTCTTAAAAGGGTGTTCGACAAGAACAACGACGGCTTGATCTCGTCGAAGGAGCTGCGACACGTGATGACGAATCTCGGGGAAAAATTATCGGAAGAAGAGGTTGACGATATGATCAAAGAGGCAGATCTCGATGGCGACGGAATGGTCAACTACGAAGGTATTCGCGCTCTTGCCTGACAATATTTATATTTCGATGCGTCTAACGAGATTTCGATCGACCGGACCGGATCGGTCTGTCGAGAAATCTCTCGAGACAGACAAACAGATTAAACGTCTCGACTCTCTCTCTCTCTCTCTCTCTCTCTCTCTCTCTCTCTCTCTCTCTCCTCTCTCTCTCTCTCTCTCTCTCTCTCTCTCTCTCTCTCTCACTCTCTCTCACTCTCTCTCTCTCGCGTGCTCGCGACCCTCTCGTAGGGAGGCTTGCTCCTTGAAGTGGTATCGCTGTTCCAGTGTCTAATCGCGCGATAATTATCCTCAACGATGAAACAATAAGTAGGTACATCTCTACCTACCGGAGGGAATCTAATTGCGTTTGACGGAAATGACTCTACTTGAATGTCTATCGTTTCGGTCGTCGATTCGCTCAAGATCGCTCGCTTGGCGGAACAATCACACGGGAGAGAAGGGGCGTGTTAACAAGTCGGGAAAGTTGAAGACGTAGGAATGATATACGACTTTGAATATTACACCATGTACTCTGTAAAATAGAGACGGTAAGAGATAACAGAATGGAGCGACTCAAACGCGCGTTCATCTAACTCTTCCAGCTTGAGATTTGTCTCTTCCATTCTTTTCCTCCTCTTCTCTTCTCTTTTCTTCTTTTCTTTTCTTTTCTTTTCTTTTCTTTTCATCGTCACTTACGGCCGATTGATCGACCGGTTGTGTGCGTATGTTTCAGAATTCGTGACGATTCTAACGTCGAAGAATTAGCTCAGGGGGCCGAGAGAACTCTTATAGACTCCTCAAAGAGTATACCAGATCGACGCAAGAACATCGTGGTTCCTCGAGGATGAGAAGAAGAGAAAAAGAGGGTCCATCAACCGACTTTACGAAAATTATAGCGTGAGATTGTTTCATGCTTCATGAAGTTGCCAGCATCGAAGCTGTCGAAACAAGGATCAAAAACTCATCGGCGACTCAACTGTGACGCAATGCCGCGCGTAAAGTCGAACATTGATTCACGACGATACGAAAGGTGCCGTGAAATTGCGGAAACGAATTGCGCGATATTGAAAATGGCGCGAACACAAATAAGTCGAACGAGTGCAATGGTGAAGACACAGCGCAAATCCTTGCGAATCGCTTGTTCGACGCTGGATGTGCATCCACTTCGGGGCAATCTACTTCGTTTCGACTTTGGTCGGAAAAACTCAAGAAAGGAGAGGCATATTTTTGTGCGGTTGCACGTAATATGTACGCGCGTTATACACGCAACGCGTGCGTGCGCGCACACACATAGGCGTGCACATACGCACTTTACAACATACGTACACAAACACACACACACACACACACATACACGCGCGTGCGCGCGTGCGCGCGCGTACGAGCGCATACACACACGCACGACGCACGCACGCACGCACGCACGCACGCACGCACGCACGCACGCACGCACGCACGCACGCATGCACGCTGCACGTACGCACGCATGCACGCTGCACGTACGCACAGACGCGTACGGCCCCCTTCGGACTAATCTTAGGTGAAAACTCGGTCTTTAAGTCGACGATAACGATAACGATAACGATAACGCAGTAATACAGTAACTAAAGAGATTACTTCAAAACGATGGCGCAGGGAGAGGAGGAGGCAAGATGTGCCGCCACCCGGAACAATCAACCGAGCTTCGTTTAGACTTTTACGTACCCCTAATCTTTATCTGCTCCTGGTAACTTTACGGAGCGATTTAGAAGTTAATTAGCTTTCCACGCCCGACCCTTTAAGCGTTCCGCGAGAGATCCTGGAGTATGTACACCATGCATATACATACATTTACAAACACGTAATAGATACACATATACTTTGCGCGGGGCATTATTCTCGACGCGATACCCGTAAACGATGCCATAACACTTGGAATGTTTTTAACGCTTATACTACAACAATGTAATACAAACGCGTGCCCGTAAGATAGCTACATACACGTCACTCGCCTCATCATCATCATTGTTTCCTCGAACCTTAGTGACCTTAGAGCGGACACGACGGGCCGATGACGCATTGCGAAAGTAACTCGCGCTTCAAAGCGCCTCGCGCGAAGACACTCGTATCGATTATCGTGACCTCGCGTTGCGCGGTCGATCGCGCAGGACGATTGAGTATTCGACGAACGAACATGAGGAACGCGCAAGCTCACAACCAAGATGTCCCAACCGATAGACGATAGTTGAAACTAGTACAACATCTATCGTGGTGTAGCCATGGATATACGGTCGAAATTAAGCGGCTTTTATAGCGGCACGAGCATTCACGTCCGGATGAGTCTCTAAGAATATCCTTTGTTACTGAGAAATTGGTTGATGGATAAGGTATAACAGTCATGTTACCTTAGTTTAGGTTAGATTAGATTTATCGGTCGTAAGTTCGTATTGATGTTATCTTCGATAACTAAGGAGATTATTGTTGCAACGCTCGACCATCGCTCTAATTACAGTTATATCTCCTCTAGCGATATTAACGCGTCGCGATTAGACTCAGTATTCACCGACCGAGTAAGAAACCCCGAGAGGTACGATTCGACAATTCGGAGTGCGATTACACGCACAGACGCCAGCGTGACAGACGAGAGAGAGAGAGAGAGAGAGAGAGAGAGAGAGAGAGAGAGAGAGAGAGAGAGAGAGAGAGAAAGAGAGAGAGAGAGAGAGTTTATTCCGAGCGCGGGAGCGGCCCCGTGAAAAAAGAAGCACGATGTGTTTCCGTATCGCCCGTCGTCGTACCGCCCAAAACCGGAGCCCAAAGGAGCGAAAGAGCTGCGTAAGGGCATTACGCGTCGTGCACGTACCTTTGAACGAGTAACGAGTAACGAGGAGAAACATGTTGAGTACTCTACGCGCTACTACTAACACGCAACGTATAGACGATAGTACTTAACAATCATAATAACGGATAAAGGAAACGAGGTAGGGTTGTTGTGGCAAGAGTGTCGATAATTCGCAGATAATGGGGATAATCCATAATCCTCCTACTTTTTATCAACGTTCGGGTACTTTTCGCTCGAACCGCCTCTAAATCTTCTAGATTATGTAAGTGCTCGCGCATCGCGCGTCTGTTTGTTGAAAATATAATAACGACATTTGTTCCCCCTTCCTTCTCATTATTCGATTCGATATTTCGAACATTTTGTCGTATGATTTGTCATTTTTTGTGTCTAGTTTTTTACACACATGCATACATTTTTTAACAATGGACGCTGTCGAATAGTTGAGAATCCAGCTTTGCGTGCACGAATATCGAAATACAAAATATTCAGCCCGAAAATGATTGTAACTTTGGGGCATCGTTGACTTTCTCTCTCTCTCTCTCTCTCTCTCTCTCTCTCTCTCTCTATGTTTCAGGCACAATTGCATTATTATATACTATACGTAATGATGTTATTACCAAACATACGTGAAAAACATTGTAGATATCCGTTAACATGCAGAGTGAAGCACTTGAAACTCTGTCACTTTGCTTTACATCAAATATTCACAAAGAAAGAGGAATCACTTGAATATTGAAAAGTTTCGTTGTTCCAAAAAGAATATATTTGTCTAGAGATGATGATATTAGCGACAAGTCGAGGTGCGTGCCAGTTGCCACACAGTTTCAGGCGCTTTATCCCGTATACATGACGCTTCGTATCAACGTTTGTAGTGTTTATATACTTGTACGTACGAATACAAAAGTGTATAAAGAAGATGAAAGACGCGCGCGCGCGCGCGTGTGTGTGTGTGTGTGTGTGTGTGTACATACACACACGCTCACGCACATACATATATATTCTCGATGCGCGTCGGAATAGCTCGCTGCACCGATCGAGTCGGCCAGTCGGTCGTTACGCGACAAGTGAATGAAATAATATGCATACCGCGCTCAGAGCGTATCGACTGCGTAAATATCTACTTCCTAAGAGGGGTTGCATTAATGCTGCGATCAATGTACATGTTCTCCATCATCGTGCGTTCTACACATATTCAAGCACATGTACGCGCACGCATGCACACACGCACGCACGCACGCACGCACGCACGCACGCACGCACGCACGCACGCACGCACGCACGCACGCACGCACGCACGCACGCACGCACGCACGCCCACGCACGCACGCACGCACGCACGCACGCACGCACGCACGCACGCACGCACGCACGCACGCACGCACGCACGCACGCACGCACGCACGCACGCACGCACGCACGCACGCACGCACGCACGCACGCACGCACGCACGCCACGCACGCACGCACGCACGCCACGCACCGCCCCACGCACGCACGCACGCACGCACGCACGCACGCACGCACGCACGCACGCGCGCGTAATTCAGTCCGGCACGAAGCGAGAGAGACGAGGGATGAGAGTAACAAGAGTAACGATTATTTTGTTGCGTTATTTTGTCAGGCGTTCAGTTGTCTCGTTCAATGTTGTATCGTTTGTAAATGTTCAATGAGCTGATGAAATAGAATTACTCCTACATACACACATCTCACATTGGTCACGACACAACATATTGCTTTCTCTACGCACTTCTTTTCCATTCCAAAAGACTAATACTCACTCAGAGTCAGAGTTATGAATTTTTCAAATGACCAGAAACATGCGGATAGCTTATCGCGCGAAAGCTTATAGCTAAAATCGAACGTTCAAGTGCAACTGATTCGAGTAACGAATCGATATATAATCGCGTGTACTCGAGATCTTTTGGATTTAATTTACATTATTTTCAAAGCAAGGCAAAGACAAACAAACAAACAAACAGCCCACAGCCGCACCTCTGATAGAACACTGCCGTGACGTCAGATTAAAATGCTCATATTCGAACATAGATATATTTCATAAATTTTCGACTCTTTACAAAAGAGAAATTTCAACAAACTGCAGATAAAGAAAATATTGCGATATATATTGTTCTCACATCTCATTTCTTTGTACATGTACATACATATTATATAATATAGCTTCCGGACTTAGCTTAGACTAAAATTGATCTCCTACCGGCGCATCATAGAGTTTACAGAGTACGAGATCACGGAAGGGCATACCTATGTCGAATCGAATCGAATCGAATGTCGAATCTGTTCGTAAAGAATACGACGACGCGGGCATACGGGCATTCATTTCAATGCGAATGCGAATGCGACAGCGACAAGAACGACAGACACGTGTATTTTTGACAATAATATATTTTCGTAAAGCTTATCTTGTCTCCAAACGAAATCGCGCGTAATCGCGCGATATCTTTCTTTCCATTGAACTGCACATTGTTCTGCAACGATAACGCTATGTTAATTACGTTTTTCGATCTACTGATTGATGTTTCTGCCTCCCCCCTCTTTCTCTCTCTCTCTCTCTCCCTCTCTCTCTCTCTCTCTCTCTCTCTCTCTCTTTCTCTCTTTCTCTTTCTCTCTCTCTCTCTCTCTCTCTCTCTCTCTCTCTTTCTCTCTCTCTCTCGTGCTCGATCAACACAATAATATTCGAGGCCGAGCTCGACTCCGAAATCAGGCGCCATGAGAGCAAATCAGCACGGCAAGAAAACGGCATTTTTACTCTCTGTAGATTTCAAGAGAGAAAGTAAAGCGGCTTTATAAAATACGTCACAAACAGCAATGTATAACGTCCTAACGACAATATATTAATTAATGGAGTTTAATCAAGAGAATTTTCCGAGGGAGCGGATATACGCTGGTACGTTTCGAAAACGAAACAACGCGTAATCATATTTTGTGTCGCTCTCAAGATACTCTCTGTACGTTCCAACGTCGCCCTCCAAAAGTAAAGATAACGCGCGAGTCTTCCCTCCGATGTGTATATTTATAATTAATCGAGACTACCCTCCGTTTTACATTCGACTCGTTTTTATCGTCGGTCGCTGCCTGGGAGCCGGATTCCGAAAAAGGAGAGACTAAGAGAAATATCCTGGAGATCGACGAGACTTGTATCATTGTACAATGTCCTTTAATGTAATCGACCGGAGCTATCGATGTTTCGCATACTTATGTACGTACCTGTGTGTGTGTGTGTGTGTGTGTGTGTGCGCGCGCGTGTGCGTGTACGTGCGCGGGTGCGGGCGCGTATATACGTACATACGCGTAGTACGTATGCATGTATGTATATATGTATATACGCGTAGCATGCATGCATGTATGTATGTGTACATGTATGTATGTGTGTACATGTATGTATGTGTATATGTACGTATATATGTATATATGTATGTACAGACAACGTGCGCGTTTGTTACAAACCAAGTTTGGTGTCTCCTCTTGCGACGATGTAGTGGCGTCCACTAGCAGAGCCAATCGTCTCATTGATACTCATGTTACTTTTGTTATCGATAATACTGTACCGTATGTACAGGGCTGGCTTAAGGTACGTACTCACGGATCGTGATTTGTTGTTGAGAGTTTCCGTTGTTTCACTATATTACTAACAAGTACGGTGGGAAATTGTTTGAAATTATAGAGAGAAATTTATCGCAATCAATCAACAAACAAAGGATTGTTGGATGTTGGATCCAACGTTGCGTTTCCTTAAGCCTGACCTAGATATATCGCGATGAATATTTTCTGCCATCAAAGATTTACGGTACTATTGCACGCGTAATATGCAGCCATGTGTGTACATTCATCGCAATTTAACAGACGCATCGACTCGGTGGAGCAACACTGAGTTACTTCCTGATGTATATATCGGATGTATGTAACCGAACCGAAGTAGAGAGAGAGAGAGAGAGGGGGAGAGAGAGAGAGAGAGAGAGAGAGAGAGAGAGAGAGAGAGCGAGCATACATTTCATCAGGACGGTCGCACGGTGCTTCGCAATCCTTTAGCATTAGTCTCGACGTCTACGGACCGATATTTCACGTGCGGCCTGTAAACTAGGCGGCTCGGGGCGTCTAAGTTCGCTCCGAGACTTTGCCCAAGTGTTCGGACTTTGCCTAAGTGCGACGTGAACGAAAGAATGTGTACGAACGGACGAACGAACGAGCGAGGGTGGAAGCTTAATATCAAATATACTTTGAAATACCGCAAACATGTTATAATCAAATTATTATATATGTACATCGATAGATATACGCGAGAGGATCTAATTATTTTAGATGTATAAGAATTAGATATTACAATTGTTAAGTAAGTGTAAGTAAACGATAAGTTGTAATAATTGTCAGAGTTGCAAAAATTGTCGCTTCTACGCGACACGAATCTTCCGTTCATTAGAAATCTACGACTCGTCGTGTCATACCGGTCCGGAGGATCCATGACGGATCTTCTCTCTCTCTCTCTCTCTCTCTCTCTCTCTCTCTCTCTCTCTCTCTCTCTCTCTCTCTCCCCCACTCTCTCTCTCTCTCTCTCTCTCTCTCCCCCCCTCTCTCCCCCTCTCTCTGTCTTTCATGAAACGATCTCGATACCATACGTATGATAACGTCGAGTCCAGCTTTAGGCAATGTGGCGAGTTGTACGTCTACCATTATTACCATAGGCATCGTGTAATATAGCAGCGAGTCGTTTCAATCGCAAGTCGCGTCATCATTGACGGCATATTCGCATATTCGTCTATCGACTGTGTTCGTGATCGAGAAGCTTCGCAAACGGTAACAGGTTGCTCATACGCAGTACGGGATTCGGGATCGGTAAATCTCAGACGATCAATCGACGAGCAATCGTCGACGAACGAATGTAATCAAATGCAAATGCGGCTCGTAGGTGGATATCGATGCGGATATTTTCTTTCAAACACGATCGAACGAGTTGCGGGAAGTTAAGTAATTCTAACATTGATCCATCTAGATGAAAACAATGCTTCTAGATGCTAATTATTAGGATCGCTTAACTCTCCGGAACAAATTTCACTCTTGTCTTTTTCGGCGTTAACGTCGACTACAACAAAGGAAAAAAGCGGGATGAAGAAGCGATTCGTTTGAGTTGTAACGGAGGAACGTGCTGGCTATGCAGCGACCATACTACAGAAGAAAAAGAGATAGAATTAGAACCCTATGTGCGTGCGTGCGTGCGTGCGTGCGTGCGTGCATGGCCATTGGATTGCCTTTGCAGCCATTGCGCCAATATCAAGACTCGCACAACTCTCGTTTTTGCCTCGACTCAACTCGACCGAATAATGTCTTCATATCTTTCTCCTTACTGATCTGTCGCTGATTGTTGGATGAGAATGAATCTTATGCGCAGCACACAAGTACTTTCGAATCACAGACTCGAGACTACTGATAAGCGCTGGTAAACAAACAGAAAAGTCTTGATAAACACGAGCACGCGAGCAGGCGACCACTTGTCTCCGAAATATTCAGCTTTTTTCATCCTGTTACACCGTTACACCGTTATCGTTTGCCACATCGTCCATTCACAGAATACATGCCCGTGTCGAGAAAATGAAATCTACGTCTTACCTGTGTTACCTGTGTAAGCTGTTGAGAATATTCTGAACAATTCTGAAATACTACTTGCAATTTAAGAGATGCAGCTTGCAAAATAAAAGCTGAATATGTTCATTAAGATTCTCTCGTCTTTATTTCGTTTCTTTCGTCAAGTTTTCGTTTGTTTGCCAGTCGAGTTCTCGTGACTACGATTCCGAACACAGCTTGCGTAATGTTTCCGTTTCACTGAGATGAAAAACTCAAGAGAAAAACTCATGGAGTGATAACGGCGGAAATCGTCGTAGCTACGACAAGAGACAATCGAACGAGTTTGCGGAGCTCTCGATTACACCAGGGAGAGTGTACGTGTCAAAAACAAATGTGTCGAGTGAATCTGACTGATTCATCGATATATCCCGGCTGTCTGTGTGCGAGTCTGTGTTGTACTCGTATATATTGTTGTTATTCGTTTGACTTATGACATATGACTAATATCCTTAACGTTTTCGTACTTTAATTTGGAGGAGCGCAGACTTGAAGATTATTCTCGAGTCGATTGATATTCGCGTTACTCCGGCGTTCAACAACATTCGAACAACAAACACCGCGCATTTCTCTTACAAGCAATATATTCCCTCTCTCTCTCTCTCTCTCCTCTCTCTCTCTCTCTCTCTCTCTCTCTCTCTCTCTCTCTCTCTCTCTCTTCCCTTTGTCTGTCAATACCCATTATTTCTCGGTTGTCTCTGTTCTTTCTCCCCTTTCTTCTCTTCTTCTTCTTCTTCTTCTTCTTCTTCTTCGTTTCTTTTTCAGCCGCAAGATACAATTTCGGCTTGCCTAAATGGAATGGACAAGCAAAACAATCGCGTATCTCAGAATAGAATCGCGGCCGAAGCATGCAAAAACAATGTTGGCGAGCTAATTATCGTCGTGTGTGTAACGAGGGAAACGTCTTTCACTCACAACTCTCTGTTAAACGACGCGGAAAGCTTGGGTCGCGTTTTTCGACTTGAGTATGAGCGCGTATATCTCTATATTCTCTATAGTAGCAGAGATCAATAATGGAGATAATGTGTGTCTGACAGGGGATCTTGACTTTCGTACGATCGAGATATCGCAGCTCCAATGGGAAAAGATTCCGCGTTAAGGATTAGAAGCTGGCTCGTTTTTTCCAGGAATCTTTCTAATTATTTCAACAAACCGTTGAAATTTACAATCAAGCGGAGAATCAAATTAAACATTATTAAATCAAATTAATCCGACGATCCCGAATGCTCGGCACCTGCACTGAGTGAGCAAGTGAGATTTGGCCGGAGGGCCGAAGACACGTGTTAACTCAGATTGACAGTCTCGGTGATTGGCAGTGGTATCTTTTCTTATCGGTCTGTTGCTTCTCGACGTGCAGGTATCCATCCGCGATCGTTCGACTATAAAAGAAAAAAGAAAAAAGAAGAAAGAAAGAATTTTATTTTCCCCGCTTTTGCCATTTCGAGGCGATCACGTTTTGAGAAACGACGCAATGCGAGAAGGCGCGCGAAGCGAGATGGAGGGTAGGTAACTCGGAGATAACTTCAACGCAAGTTGAAGATTGTATCGATAGTCGCGGATATTGAAGCGTGTGAAAAGGAAACAACGTGAGAGAAAGAAATGAAAACTGAGGCTGTATTGCGTTATGCGTGAACGAAGAAAAAAAAAATGTTTATATTTTTACTTGAGGAAGGGCTGCGATAATGCGTTTGTTGAACGACTAATTCCCGCCAATGTACATGACGTTATTTTTCTAGGGGAAGTATCTAAATAATTATTATATTGCGTTCTGCGGCGACACGTGTTCTCAAATAATAAGCAGGCCTAAACGCGACTTTTTACGATGATAGATTTAATGCGTGTACGAGAATATTTGGCAAAAGAGACATACATTTGTTGTTTATTTATTACCTTGTACAATGGTGCTATTGTGCGTTATTAAAGTTACTCCGTAAAACTATACCGACATGTTCTAGACAGATCTGTCGGCGAATGTCTTTTCCCGGATAACTCTCGTCTTGATATCGGAATCGCGTTGGTTTTGCGATCAGATCGGATCAGGAATATGTCGCGTAATATGTTACGTTACGCGTAATATTACGAGTGACTCAAGTCTACGGAATTGAGATCCATTTACACTCGACCGTGTTCTGTTTTCGTACATCGCTTTAGTACACGCGACAGTGTACACGATGTGTGGCATTTTTCACACCTAACCATCCTACCATCCTACCAGCGTCCGTGATTTCTTCAAGACACTGTTACGTTAGCGTCCGAGGTGAGTGCCTCACAAGTGCGAAACAATAGCAATAGTGTGTGTGTGTGTGTGTGTGAGGAGGCAGGAGATCGAAACACACTGATCTCAACAAAAGCGGACGATACACACGAAAGCAGGCGGTTGAAGACGGTCTCGACGGTCCAATTTGTCTCTTGTCGAAAGATGATCGTCGTCGATGCGGCGACGTCGATACAAACGGACGGATCGGTTTAATTTAACAGAACTATAATCTAGCATCCGTGTGTGGATGTGTACGGTATGGGTATGTAGCAACAAGTACAAACGAACCTTAAGTGTGCTTTTTAACATTTAACAGGCAGTCGCGTCTCGAACGAAAATTTTCTTTCGTTACAATCGTTTCGTCTCGTCTCTGTGTAAGACCTTCTGTTTAGGATTCATTCTTTCTTTCGCTAACAACGCGTCGCTACGCGTGTGCGTTACTGTTACCTGTTATTAATGGAATGGCGAATAAATTTATATGTCACCCAAATTTGCCCAACTGTTTCAAATGCCATCACTTCCGCACTCTGTATGTGCGTGCAAATACGAGTGTGTTGTCGCACACGTGGGATATAACTCGATAGTTTTCAATCGATAGTGTTCTTTGCTTGTGGTATCAAGCTATTGATTGCTCAATCAATAGCGAGAGATTAGGGCTGTTTATCATATAACATGTGTTATCTTACAATTAATTGCAATCCAATGTGCTCGGTGTGTGCATGTGATGCTGAGAGAGACTTTTGTATCCCGACCAGTCTATTCAAAAACTGTTCTCACTTGATCGGCTATTTTCGTCGTATTATTTCAATGTGTGAGAAAGTTTGTTGTTTCGACAATGTTTTCAGAGTCTGCACACACAAAAGATGGATTTATTACAAACAATAAAATGTGACGCACGTTACATCTCGACGGTGCAAATATACTCGATATAATTTCTCGATAATTCGCATTCACTTTCCAAATTACGGGCAACGCAATAAGAGAGGACAACCGAGCAGATGATAAATTTTGTACGTCCTTATCTAATCAATCCCTTATTCGCGAAGGATCAACTATACAGTTCATATCCATTGACAATAATTAATGTTAAACATTTATGACTTAGAAATCAGCTTTATTAACAGCCAAAACAATATCATCTTTCATACAAATAATGTTTTCTAAAAGTATCTTACGAGAGCATGTTACTTCACTTACACTTGTTTCAATCATGCGATAGATAAAATCTCTCTTTCTCTCAGTCCACGCAAGCACGTACGCACGCACACACATACACTCTTTCTCTCTTCCCCTCTTCTTCCCTTCTCCCTTTTTTCATATAATATATCTAAGAATAATAATAAAAAAAAAAAAAAATACAATTAATAATACATGCATACACGTATTAGATACCATCATATATCATTCAACACATTTATCCTATATAGATTCTCAACGAATGTAATTGAATATAATATCAATGATGTTGTGCCGAGTTTTGATCAATGTAATAGAAGAAGATATAATGTAAACTAAATTTTTACATACAAAAGTTCCAGATTCAAAGTTGTAAAAATTAATAATGATTTTAAATCGCACAATGTCGCTCCTATATATGCGATCATTAATATACGCACAAAATCTAATACATAACTGTAGACGCTGGTAGGGATGCAGAGTTTAACGTTTCACTATAAATTGTACACAAATGTTTGCACGCGAGAACAACTCGCGCTGCACACAAGGCGCTATGAAGAAAAGAATCTCATATCCAGACCTATTTGCGTGCACACGTACAAAGTTACAAAACTATTCCGTAACGATTTAACAGCATATTATATAGCTTCGTTAGAGTCGAAAATCTAAATCTATAGGTACGTATTGCTGGTTGCAATCTTGTGGTTTCAAGTTACCAAAAAGTACAGTTCCTAATTGTACATATACGTACGCTTACAATATAACAATACGAATATTAATCGTGAAGCTATTATGCCGGTTTTTGTGCGCGTATATTTTGTGTACTGTGATTTGTTATCTTGTAATTTCGTGGCAAAGTTTTCGTCTTATAGTTTCTCAGTACATCATAACATATGAAATGACGGTTGATCAAGTTGACCAGTGAAATCTAAACGATGTATCACAGATGAGATTCAGATTGCGATCGGGAAAGACAAAAGAAATAAATGAAACACACCGTAACGTACCTTAATCTCTGGAAATGTACGTACATTGGGATTTTCGACCTCGATTGTAGCTCTAGAATACGCTGTTGAGATATTCACGATGTTTGCGATAGTTTTGCAATATTATGTGCGCGTATAATCTACATAAAATATTAAGTTCATTATGTGGTCATCAAATATCAAAACGAGATAACAAGTAGCGTAAAGAAAGGGAGAAAAGAGGGAGAGAAGAACGCGGTTTCACCGAGTTTTCAGAAGACTCGTATTGCAATTACACTATGAAAATAAACATGTCTGTGTATATCGAATGTTGAAACATTTACTCGTTTACCAATTCCGATTACAATTCGTTTTAATTTATTAGTAAACTATATAGCAATTAATTACGAGAATTTCCATTACGCCACATTAGTCCTTTCGTCTTGTTACAATTCATCTCGAAGTAACGTATATCTATTTTTGCTCGGTGCCAATTTTTTGAATGTAGACTCTGGCGGTGTTGTCACCTGCTTCCCCGTAACTTGCGGTACATCATTATTGACATCCGGGCCATAGTGGAATTCACGATGAAGTTTCCCGGAATACAAATCCTGCAGGAAGGCTTTGAGTTTACCTTCCACGTGAATGTCCTTAAAATCCTTGAACATGTACATGTGCCTAAAACTATCTATCGCGATCAGTGGCAAGTCTGCTGGACTTTTCCCTAAATGGTGCAACGGATGTGCAAACTTCAAGCCATCGGCGGTCAAAAAATTGACGTTTTCTGAAAGGAAAAGACGATGTGGTAGAACGCAAGTTATGGAAGGCGATACGGAAGAAAAAAAGATAAAAAAGAAAAAAATGGTCATGACACAAGTAAAAAAAAAAAAGGCGTACGTTTTTCGCTTATCAGTGTCCTAGTTACGATATCTTTGTACAGTTTGACACTTTCTACGTCGTCGGGAGCATGGAACAGTATAAGGAACGGAAGGCCTTCTTCCGTCAACTCTTCAGCATTTTCGAATGTTATTTCTCTTACAAGTGGTACACACTTTTCTTGCGCCCACACATTCAACTCGTCGTAATTGCTCAAACTTCCATTGTATGTCTCGTCTTCGTCATTAGATAAGGCCTTATCCGACCGGAAGACAATGATGGCTTCTCCTGGAGGATGCAACGCTTTACTCGCATTCCTGCATGTACAATGAAAAAATCCGTTAATCCTGGCTTACGTATCGGTGTAATATTCTTTGGTGACACAACTGAAAATATTTAGAAAAAGGATGCACAATCCATCCATGGCAGATTTTATCGGGTGATTTCATCTCTATGTAACATACCATCGTACATCGTAAGAAGGATCGAATTACCAAAGAACATTTGGCATAACGGGGTGAGAGGACGCGCAGGAGGGATGCGGATGGGAAAGGATACTTAGCTGATAAGCTTATACGTAACATTTACTTACAGCAAATGAAAATGCTGTCCGATATCGCAGTTTTGATTGGAGCATGTGCTTGTCAAACGAAATTACATTATGATAATTATGATATGATATTACATATACATATACATAGAGATATTCTTATTTTAACAATGAGATGTGTGTGTGTGTGTGTGTGTGTCTGTATACACGTGTAAACATTTTTCACGATAATCGCCTTGTGTACTCTGGGAAAATACAAGTATGTTTGTGTAAGTAACCAGAGCACATGGTTTGTACATATGTGTGTGTGTTTAATGCGAGCGCGGTGTATAACGATATTTTACAATAATATAATTGACAATATTGAAGATAATAAATGTCTTACCCAAAGCCAACATGAAATTGGCAATCGTCCTTCAAATTAGTGGCAACTTTTTTAAACAATTCGTACTCTGGTATATCCTTCCTGTCAAAGTATCCTATAATCATACGCTTTTTGTCGTCGAGTTCATTAAGCTCTCTCAAATCAAAGAATTCTCTGATAGGATCTTCCAATTGTTTTCTGATAAATTCTTGGAACGCCTCCACTGATCGCTGCCCTCTATATTCTCTCTTAGTTGGCTGACCATTCCTTATCACTTTTAATGTTGGATATTTACTTATGTGGAATCTAGTAGCCACAGCCGCTGCATAATATAACATGTAACAACATACACATTAACTTTAATACATGAATTGACATACAGATGCCTTATTTATCGCGATATATGAAGAAACATCGTGTTTTCAATTTGTAAACGTTTTAAACATATGACAATTATTTTTTAAAGATTGCATCACATGGATTACTTTCGTTTAGATACATCATGGAGGGTGGGATCCTCAGTCATTCACATTTTCTGGGAATAGGGTACTCAGCTAGGGTACTCAGAATAGGGTAACAGCTTTTTCAAGTACGCCATTTTGACCACTTTGCAATTTTATACTTGTATGATTACGCTCAGTTGATTATCGTTGCCATCATGCAAAACTTTCGAGCTCAATATTTGAATTACATATGTCTCAAGTGTAATTCAAAGTACAAATGACTGGGGATTCCGCTTTGTACAACAAACATACATCAAAATCAAGCAAATTGGTGTGATGTAATTTTTTTTTTGTAGAAATATCAATGAAATGTACTTACATTCTTGGTCACAGTCAACTTTAGCCATTACTACCTTCCCTGGCTGTGGAAATTCTTCTTTAATCTTACTCGCAGCTTTATCGAATAATGGGGCTAATAGATTACTGAAGCGACACCATTGCGCATAGAAGTTGATAAACACCAGTTCATTCTTTGCTGTAAAGTTTATAGCTTAAAGTAAGCACTGTGCGACACGCTATCGACTACAAATGTTTTCAATGTCTTACCTAACGTTTCATCAATATTTTTGTGAGTGAGTGAAACTGTACCTTCTATTGTTTCTTCTCCTAGACAATTTGGCAAATGTATCTAGACATACATTTTCATTTCATTATAATCTAATCTACATTGAATATAGAATATTATTATATAATATATATCAGGGAAAAGTAGGTGACACTGAGATGGACTGAAGCGTAAGCTTCAAACAGAGCCTCCACACGACAGGGCAAGTATAGGACGACAATGTGGAACAAAGTATCATGGTCATATAATGTGTGTATGTGCGCGCCTATTAGCCATTATTTTCTCTACTTTTTTGTTTTTTGTTCGTCATGTATTTTTTTTATTTTTGTATTAATTCAATATCAAAATTTGGAATATTTGCAATCAATATTGGGTCACTTCAAATCTACATTGATTGTATCATATCAAGGCTGTATACTGTATACGAATTATTAATTCATATGTATTATATACAATCAGCAATATGTTAAATATGGTTGGAAAGTAAAAGTTACAGACATTTGAGAGATACTTGTGTCGATATACAAGTGCGTGACGTATCTTGATACGTTACCGAATAATGTACAAATTATACGATTCGATTTTTGTTTTTTCTTTTAGCGTAAATTTAGTTAAATCTCAATCGTTCATTGTTTTTTTTTTTTTTCCCTACACGAGGTTATCACGAGTAAAAGAGTACAGGTTATGTCGTATGGAAGATACATAGTACGCTGATGATGACAACGGATGAATGGAAATAAGTAGTAGCTACGTATACAGTCACGTAGAAACGACTGTAAATTATAACGCAACGGTCGTAAATGAAAAGCGTAAGATTCGCGACGTATTATGATGATGAAAATTATGATTTACCGTTGACATTTCTCTCGCTGATCTGTACGCAATTTAACGAAACGATAAGGAAGCAGTTTGACGATGTCACTTACCAGCAGACATGTAAGCATAAGTACTTTGAAGTCAAATATATCACAGTGAGCTAGCATCTTGCGATTTCGCGACAACTAAACCGATGATACGACAAGCTTTTGAATCACCATCAGTAAGCGCCTGTGCTACGTGCTATGTGTCAAGTTCAACGAGGTATGGAGTCGCATATTAGATAATCGAATGTGCAATATGTTCGAGAGATCGATTATAGCAGGTCGATCTACGAGTGACATTATTATTATTATTATTATTATTATTATTCCGATATATACGCATTCGTATGATAATGTAAATAAAATCTGTGTGAAAATCGTGAAAGATGCAGACCTCGTCACCGACGAGGTAATATAAAGACTGTCAGCCCTGAGTAAATTTTCCTAATGGCCAAGGGGGGTTCAAGGGAGGTAATGGAGAAGCGACGATAATACCGACTGCTTTAGCTACGTTCAAGATAATAATACAGCTAGCACCTATTGCCGGTGCGCAACAATAGCGTACAATAGCGCCCCGAATTTTGATAATTTGCTGATTTTGAAATTTCCACAAATCAGTAAGTTAACAAAAGTCAAGACGCTATTGTAACAATATATTCTTGAGACTTAATAAAGCAAGAAAGTCTAGTACCACTTTTCTTTCCGACAAATAGTTAGCGAGATATCGTGAGTTAAATATTGAAAAAGTTATCAAGTTTTCCTCAAATATCTCAAAAAAATATTAGACAAATAAAAAAATGTTTTAGACAAAAGTTGTTCGAATTAACTAGAAATTAGGTAGAAAAAAAAGCAGTGTAATAAAAAGTAAGGATTCCCATTTAAAGAACGCAGGTTGACCTTCAAATGACCTTGAAAATAAAGGTCAAGATCAAAGTCAAGGCCATCATAAGGTAGCTTACTTAAATCCCTACAACTCTTATTCAGATCATTTTCCTTGAAACTTCAATACTGAAGAGTTATTAGGGTGGTCCGTTACTTTCGGGACACTCTGTATATCAATATACAGGGTGTGGCAAAAGTCTGGGAACACTCAAATATCTCTTAAAAAATGAATTTTAGAAAAGAACGTTTCAGACAAAAGTTGTAAGGTTTAAAAAGATGCATTCAACGGTAATATCCGCTTGACCTTGGGTGGCGTTGCCAAGGTCAGGTCAAGGTTAACCTGATATTTGTAAATGGAATCCCCCACTTTTTATTACATATTCTTGTAGCTTACCTCGAGAGCTTTTCAAGACACTACGACAAAGTTTCTTCTCGTTGAGTACTTTCCGAGTTATGAGACACGAAGGTACCGCAGTACCGCCGACATTAGGCATTATCCAAGATGTACCGTGTGGAGGTTGCACGTTCGGATTTACATCTCGTTTGTGCGTGCGTGTGTAAAAAGGTGAGCGATTGAATGAGTATGCGTCTACAAATATAAATGTTTGAATTGTTGACCTTCAATTTGACACTGAAGTAGTCGATTATGAAAGCTCTTACTAACATTTTTCAATGTTTCGGAGGTAATTAATGCTACTACTTCAGTGGTAATTCGGTGTCGCAAATCATCCAAATTCAGAGATTTTGTTTTGTAAACGTGATCTTTTAAATAATTCTAAAAGAAAAAATCCAAGGGATTCATGTCAAGTGATCGGGATGGCCACTCGATTGGTCCCCTCCTTCATATCCATCTTTCAGGAAAAGTGTCGTTTAAAAACTGTCATACCTGCAATCTAAAATGTGGAGGGGCACCATCCTGCTGAAACCAAACTGTATCAAAATTTAAATCGAAAATATTGCGAATAGCAGGAATAATATCGTCTCGATATTTAAAAGATCGCGTTTACAAAACAAAACCTCTGAATTTGGATGATTTGCGACACCGAATTATCACTAAAGTGGCATTAATTATCTCCGAAACATTGGAAAATGTTAGTAGAAGCTCTCATGATCGACTGCTTCAGTGTCAAATTGAAGAAGGTCAACAGTTCGTCAACATTTATATTTGTACACGCATACTCATTCAATCACTCACTCACTCACTCACATTTTTACACTTTTACACTTTTTCGAGGTAAGCTACAAGAATATGTAATAAAAAGTGGGGGATTCCATTTACAAATATCAGGTTGACCTTGGCAACGTCACCCAAGGTCAAGCGGATATTACGTTGAATGCGTCTTTTTAAACCTTACAACTTTTGTCTGAAACATTTTTTTCTAAAATTCATTTTTTAAGAGATATTTGAGTGTTTCCAGACTTTTGCCACACCCTGTATATAAAATGTACAAAATATTATAATTCTATTACACTATGATATTATAAATATACAGGGTGTCCCATTTTAAAGGACCCACTCAAATATCTCAGAAACACTGCGTTAAATCGAAAAATGCCTAAGACAAAAGTTGTTTAGCTTGAAGGGGGACATAGGGGGACATAGCGACAGCATTTTGTTTATAGATGGCGCCACTTTCGAGATATTCACTGATTATCAATTTTCTTAAATGGTAATCCCAGTCTTTTATTATATCATCTTTTTCTACCAATTAATTTGAACAACTTTTGTCTGAAACATTTTTTTATTTGCTTAATATATTTTGAGATATTTAAGGAAAACTTGGTAACTTTTCCAACATTTACCTCACGATATCTCGCTAACTGTTCGTCGAAAGAAAAAATAGTATTAGACTTTTTTACTTTATTTATTATCAAGAATATATTACTATAATAGTGCCCTAACTTTTGTTAACCTATCGCCCTTTGGAAATTTCAAAATTATTAAATTAACAAAAGTTAGGGCACTATTATAGTAGTATACCATATTCTGATGGTAAATAAAGTAAAAAAGTCTGATACTATTTTTTCTTTCGACGAATAGTTAGCGAGATATCGTAAGGTAAATGTTGTAAGAGTTACCAAGTTTTCCTTAAATATCTTAAAATATATTAAGCAAATAAAAAAATGTTTCAGACAAAAGTCGTCCAAATTAATTGGTAGAAAAAGATGATATGATAAAAAATTTGGATTTCCATTTAAGAAAATTGATAATCAGTAAATATCACGATGATGGAGCCATCTATAAACAAAATGTTATCGCTATGTCCCCCTATGTCCCCCTTCAAGCTAAACAACTTTTGTCTTAGGCATTTTTCGATTTAACGCAGTGTTTCTGAGATATTTGAGTGGATCCTTTAAAATGGGACACCCTGTATATATGTTAATAGAAAAGTCTACCATTCGATAAATACCCAATTGGTAATAAATTTTATACGAATAATGATAAAACTGTATGTATTATAAACGTATATTATATTATTATACAATAAACATATGTCATAGATCTGTAATTGGCGCTTAAGAATTATAAATATCAATGTTTATTGTTACCTTGGAAGCATACATGATACATTTATTTGGAATAATTCTAATGTAAAAAATGCCATGATTCATCTTTACAGACGATATCCACATAATAATTTCCATTTACTAGATAAGACATTGAGTTAACAACAATTAATTGCATGACACTACAACACTGATATGTAAGAAAAGTTGCTGATTAAAAAAAAATATAGCATTAAACTGAGGAAAAAAATGTACTATCTTGCAATTTTCGTAATAGCTAATAAGCAATGAAATAAAAAAAAGAAATAAGCAAATAAATACATGGTGAGGTGATAGTCTGAGCTGTGCACAGTGGAGCTCAAGGAACATGTTTTGTGTTTTTTTATCGATAGATAATAGCGTGTATAGACATACAACTAGTATTACGCATTGCTCGCTTGTATTCACTTACTAACTATTGCAAAAGAAAATTATGCTAAACTTTCCAGTTTAGCATAATTTGCCTTCTGTTCACGAACTAGTCGTATTTTGTGTGTCATATACATTGCATATATATACAAAAATATATAAGTATGTAAATGGGATTTTTATTATAAAATAACATTTTTGTAAAAATACAATAAATTTATATATTATATGAAAACAAATAATTTTTATAATTTGTTTTGTGATTTGTATTATATTCTGGGTTGTAGGAGACTCGGGGTATGCCTTGAGACCTTGAATGATGACCCCCATAATTGATGCTGCAGAAGGTTCTCCAGAAGATTTATATAATAAAAGGCAAATGGGATGCCGTTCATTAATTGAACAGTGCAATGGAGCATTGAAAATGAGGTTTCGATGTTTACTAAGTGCACAGAGTGCTGCATTATTCTCCAGCAACAGCTTCAAAAATTATTAACATATGCGCTATATTACATAATATATGCATTAATGAAAACGTACCACTATTACTATTAGATTATGATTGTGACGAATTAGATTTTGGCATGTGTAATAATGAAGATTATATTCAACCTGAAGAAAATCATACAAGCATTGGGAGAATTAATGCTGATCTACGTAGGCAGTCTGAATAGTTCTCGACTTGACACATACGTGGCAGAAACTGTCAAATTACAATTGTATTGGAAAGTGGCATCCCTGATATAAACCCATGTAAAATTTTATTCGATCTGCCAAGTCATTCGAGTAGTAGCACCAGTTGAAAAATCTTTGTGCAAGATGGGTGCTGCATTTGCTAACAATTGACCAAAAACGCATTCGAATGCGTATATTTCTCAAGCGTGTTTGGCACATTTTAATCGTTTCAAGCAAAATAAAATGGATTTCAAGCGTCGTTTCATAACTGTTGATGAAATTTGAATCCACCACTATACACCAGAGCGAAAAGAACCTTCTGGAATCGCGCTTTAATGATGGTATCGAATTATTGGAAAGACGTTGGAATAAATGTATTGAAGTTTCAGGAGATTATATTGAAAAATAAAACATATTTTACGGCAAAAAGAATTTTCTTCCATTGTTAGGCCGAGAACTTTTCAGACTGCCCTTGTAGCAGCTGGTAGAATAAAGCAAAGACAAATAATACAAAATTATTTCTCTTGAATTATATATTATATATCGATTAAAATTTATTGCATCTTGCTACATTTATATACACAAGTTGCACATCATTATATATATCCATAAAAAATACAAATATATACGAGCAAAATAACAAATAAAAGTAAAGTACAAATAAAACAAATAATACGATTTATTTAATGTAATAACAATACACATGCGGACCTCAATATTGTTTTGTACACTAATTTGTGATAAAAGGATGATAAGAGT